TAATAACCTGCTTGACTTACCAATACAGGGAACCCAGCTCACCTGTTCCAACCACTCCTCCTCCCCTTCGCTCTCCAAACTTGACCGCTTCATAGTCAGTACGGAGTGGGATTCGTCTTTTCCGGGAACCCTTGTAGTTGCCCTACCAAAACCGACATCGGATCACTGTCCCATTTTGCTCAACACTAATCCTACTGCGAGGGGAGCCAAACCTTTCAGATTTGAGCTCGCATGGTTGGAAGAACCTGCTCTTTTGGACCTCTTCCCTGCTTGGTGGCAATTCTGGTCTGACTCTGTCTTGGGTTGGGTTTGCTTCAGAATCCAACGGAAACTGCAGCTTTTGAAAAGTAATCTCAAAGCTTGGAGCCGTCAACTCCCTGGATCTTTTGGTCCACACAAGCTTTCTATGCTTCAGGCTATCAAGTCTATCGATACCCTTGAAGAATCGAGATCTCTGTCGGTCTCGGAAGCCCATTCTAGAGAGCAACTTAAATTTGAATACCATTCTATTCTCAAGAAAGAGGAGATATTTTGGTTCCAAAGGTCTAGAATCAAGTGGTTGAAGGCTGGAGACTTGAACACTAGTTTTTTCCATAAATTAGCAAATTGCAGGCATAGAAACAATACCATTTCTCACCTTCTGGTGGGAGAAAACCTTCTAGATCAGCCCCAGGACATAGAACAGGCTATCCTATCCTATTTCAAAAATCTGTTCTCAGCGCCCCACGGTCCCAGGCCGGTTATGGGGGACCTCTCCTTCCTTCACTCCCCAGTGATAAAGCGATCTTGCTGGAGAGACCTTTTGACGAGGCGAAAATTCTCGAGGCAATCTCTCAATTGGACTCAGATAGGGCTCCTGGCCCAGTCGGGTACCCTCTGGTCTCCTTTAAAGTCTTCTGGGAATCCTTTCAAGGTGATTTCCTTTCTCCTTTTGAAGAGTTTCACTCTAGGGGAGTCATACACAGGGCCATGAATGCTACTTTTATCACTCTTATTCCTAAGATTGAGAGTGCCAAACAGCTCAAGATTGCCGACCCATTAGCCTGGTTAATTTCACTTACAAAATTTTATCCAAAGTGTTAGCAGCTCTTCTCAAAGCTGTCCTACCTCTAGTTATCTCTCCCAACCAAAGTGCTTTCATCATAGACAGACAGATCCTCGATGGGGCCTTGGTTGCTTATGAAGGTTCCCACTCTAGACATCTTGCTAAAGCACCGGGTCTCATAGTTAAATTGGAATGGGAAAAAGCCTATGACCGTGTGGATTGGGACATTTTGAATGAAACCCAGCTTCGAATGGGATCGTGGTTGAGGTGGAGGAGTTGGATGAAGGCTTGCTACTCCCAACCTTTCTTCTCCATCCTCAACGGAACCCCGAAAGATTAGTTCCCCTCTTCTAGGGGATTGAGACAAGGAGACCTCCTCTCCCCTTCCCTTTTGCCATCTCTGCAGAGGTGTTTAGCCAGTCTATCTCTAGGGTATTTGCAGCCGGTCTGATACACGGCTTCTCTCTTGCCAACCAGGGCCCCACGGTCACTCACCTACAATATGCAGACGACACCCTAGTTTTATGCAATTCCACCGTAGAAGAGAGTACCAATCTCTTCCTGTTCCTTAGATGCTTTGGATTTGCTACTGGGTTCAAAGTCAACTTTGAAAAAACTAAAATGATGGGGGTGGCCATGGACTTTGCAACTCTCAAGTCTTTTGTAGGCTGTTGGGGTTGTGGGGCTGAGAAGCTTCCCTCCAAGTACATCTACCTCCTTGCATTGACAAACCGAAGAAGCGAAACTGGTCCTACATAATAGACACTGTGGACAGGAAGCTCGTATGTTGGAAGGGTCGTTTCCTGTCACCGGGAGGCAGATTCACTTCAATCAAGGCCACTCTGGCCAACATCCCAGTCTTTTAGATGTCCATTTTCCTCATGCCAGCTGCCATCTATTCTCACATCGAACAGTTGATGCGAAGGTTCTTTTGGTCAGGGGAGGCTGCAAACCATAAGTTTCACCTTATTTCTTGGGACAAACTTTGCCAACCATAGAAGTGGGGAGGGCTTGGGATTAGAAATCTGACGCTGCACAATCTCGACCTTTTAGGGGTGTTGGTGATTGGCGACACTTAGCGGTCACCTGTGGATTAATATTCTGAGGCACAAATATCATCTGCCATCTTCCCCTTGGTTACCAAACTGTGCCACAAACTCCAGATATTCGGGGATATGGAGATCCATTTGCGCAGCCTTCTCGTTTTTCAAGCAGTTTATTAGATACCTTCCAAAAGAAGGTAGCCACATATTCTTTTGGAAAGATCTTTGGCTTTGTCAATCTCCTCTCTCAGAGAGATTTCCGGCCCCCTTCTCTTTGGCTCATTCTCAAGTAACTGTTATGGCCGACGAAATGACCATCACTGGCTCGAGGCGTTCCCGGAACCCCAATTTCAGACGACCTATAAATGAAGACTAATTAAGCCTATTTGCAGATCTGTCAGTGGAGTTACAATTGTGTTTCTTAGCCCCTCATGGTGAGGACCGCATTATTTGGACTCTGGTAGCCCTTGGAATTTTCTCGGTCACATCTTTGTATCAAAGACTGGTGCAATCCCCCACTTCCCCCTCCCTCCCTCCCACTTCGATAATTGCACAGGCCTGGTCATCTTTTGCTCCTCCAAAGATCAAGATTTTCATGTGGATTGCCCTCTCTCAGAGAGTCCTCACGGTGGATCAGCACCAAAGAAGAGGTATGGCAGATGAGGAATCCAACCCTCGTCTGCTTTTGCACTGCCCCTTTGCCTTCAATCTGTGGGGCGAGCTGCTTCGCCTCTTTAATGTCCAATGGGTGCTACCGGCCACAGTACCTCACATTGTTAATGCTGTCCAACCTTTCCCTTGGGCAAAGGCAGGTATTTTGCTTTGGAAGTCTGCGGTGGCAGGCCATTTGGATTGAATCGAAACAACCAGATTTTCCGGGGAGAGTGCTCTTCATGGTACAACACTTTCGTCAAACTAAAATCCGCCGTGGTGTTTTGGGCAACCAATCACAAGAGTTTCAAAGGTCTTTCCGCCACTGACTCTACTCAGAATTGGGAGGCATCCCTCCAACATAAGCATCATTCGAGGGCAGCATTGTGGAGACCTCCTGCCCAGGGCACTTTCAAGCTTAACTACGATGTATGCTCCCTGGGAAACCCAAGACCATCGGGAGCTGGTGTGCTCCTCAGACATCACCTTGGCAATACTGTCACCTCTCTCTAAGTTCCTTGGCCATACTGATTCCGCGGAAGCAAAGTCCATTGCTCTCTGTTGGAAGGCCTCAATCTAATCCAGCCTCATGGGTTAGACTCGCTTACGATAGAAGGCGACTCCTAGAATGTGATCTTATGGGCATCCACCTCCACCCCTCCCTCATGGTATTTGGCTAACATCTTGGCAGAGATCGATCACCTATGTAGGGATAAAAGCATCTCTTGGCAGCACATTTGGAGGGAAGGCAATCAGGAGGCAGATACCATGGCTAAAGCAGCGGCAAGCATGGCGGGCTCATGGATCTTGGTGGTTGTGTCGTATTATTTTGGGTTGCCTTTGCTGTAACCTTTCTTAAGAAGACCTTTTTCTGTCTTTATTTTCTTTTCTCTCTCTATTATTTGGAGCATCCGTTCTGTGGATTGCCCATCACTCCGTTCATTAATTCAAGGTTAACTTTATCAAAATTTTTTTTTTACTATGAAGTTGTAAACAAAATGGACAATTATACACTTCATATCTGTGTGCATCCCCTCTCCCGAATTGGCATGTGGTAATTTTGTAAATTTTGAATGGAAGACCAAATATCCTTAGCATGTTGATGACTTAAATTGTTAATTTGTTATAAGATTCAAGTTTTCTTAAAAAATGTGTGCTTGTGATGACTTAATTTACTATGAAGTTGTAGACAAAATGGACAATTATACACTTCATATCTGTATGCATCCCCTCTCCTCAATTGGCATGTGGTCATTTGTTTAAGCTTTAGGCATTTGTTAGCCCATTAACTGGGGCAATGTTTGCTACCTTACAAACAGGCTATGTTTAAGTATGTCTGAAAATAAATGTCTAGAAACAAAGGAAAAAAAGAAAAAAAAAAAATAATCCCCAATTCCACTTTTCTATGCCTAATTTTCTGTTTGGTTTGTGGAAAGTAATGTAATTCTTATATCAGAGGCAATGTTCTCAAAAAACAGACTGGTGGGCTGTGTCCACCCACCAATCCCAATCTGGATTGGCCAGATTGCCAATCTGGCAAAATTTATATATAAAAAAAGGAAACAGGAAACTTAACGTTATATATTATATACCTTGTGGATTTTAAATCATGTGGCATGAATAGTTTATTTGGAAAAAAACTATGTCCAGGGTCTGATTCACATGTGTGTACATGTCTTTTTGAACCTCAAAAAAAGAGTTTTTTGAACGTTATAAATTTTGTACCTTAAAAGGTGACTTTTTTGAATGTTAAAATTTTTCTACCTTTAAAGACTTTTTTGAACGTTATAAATTTTGAACCTCAAAAAAAAAAAAAGTTTTTTGAATGCTATAAAAAGAAAAAGAAGGCTGGAGGAGGTTCGAATGAACCTCCGACGTTGTGTTCCCTTCTTAGCCGATGCTGCTGATCAAGTAATTTGTTATAGAGTATCCATTATATATTATATGTTACACAAATCGCTGATTCCGACGAGGAACCCGCCTGGTCATGGATGATTTCCAATACGGATCGACAATTTTTCAAACGCTAGTCTGAGGTATATGGCTAGGTTTTACTGAGGATTTCAATTCTCAAGTACTACATTTTATGTATCAGTTAGGTAATTCTGAGTAAAATCTTTACATGCTATTGAGCTTTCTTTCCCAAAACTGGCTTTTATAGGACTCATCTAATTTGAAAGGTTCTCTAAATTTTAGATTCTTGAAAAGAATAATAAAAAACCTTCCCCTTTGGTCCCTCATTCTTTTTCTGAATCATGCAGGTGGCTGCATATGACCAAAAAGAAAAGAAGATGGCTTTCTTTGATCCTTCACGCCCTCAAGATTTTCTCTTCATCTCAGGCACGAAGGTGAGAAATATAAGAAGCTCTTTAATGGGTGGTATTGGTTATATTAATGCATCTGGGTTACATCCTAGATTGTATCTAACATTGATGTACTATTGTTTAGAATTTGTAATATTTAAAGAAGATTGTGAACTTTTCTTTGGCTTACTTCTTGCTTGCAGCATATTTAACATGTTATAAAAATCCTTCATGTGTAATCTTATCTGATGTCTGTGTGATCATTAGTGTGGGGCATCTATTTCTTTGCACAGTATTGAGTATAATTTTGTGATTTTGCCAAAGACCAAGGACATTAAAAGACTTCTTATTTGTATTTGAGTTTCTCTTTCTGGGATGTTACGTACTCATTGCAGCATTGTTTTTGTTTCGATGATTCAGATGCGTACATATGCACGAAATGGAGATAACCCACCTGATGGCTTTATGTGTCCTGGTGGATGGAGAGTTTTGGTTCAGTATTATGAGAGTTTGCAGGCAGAGGAAACAAGCAAGCCTCCTACTGTAGTTTCTGTGTAGAGAATTAGGTGAACTTATTGCAGTGCATTTGGGTCTGTCTCTTTTACTTTTTACTGGTCCTTCTGTGTTTTACTTTGCGTTTACAAATGAAATTCAATGTATGATTTATTTGGGCATTCTCGAAGTTTGGAAAATATTATCTCTTATTGGGTGTTCTGGCTTTGTAGCTAACTGGAAGATTAAAGAAACAGCAGGAAGATAGAAAATTAAAACATAATGAAAGTTTGTTGTAGTGTCTGTGCATCAATATTTGGCAGAAGTTGTTGAAGAATGGAATGCTTCCAGTAAATTGAAGTAAGGAGTGGGAATTATGAGACTTGCAGTATATATTACTTCCAAGGAATGACAGCGGCTTGATACCCCAGTTTGCTTATCGTTGGCAAGGACAAAATGAGTTGATTTATCCTTTCTTTTTTTGGTAAAGGAAAATAGAGAGTATTTTTTATCTTTTTAATCATCTGAGTACTTAGTTTCTTTTGAGGCTTGTGGTTTAGCATGTTATTGTAATTTAGACTATTGCGATCTTGAGCTCATTCAACTCTCTCAGTTACAGACCTTTTTCTGGTTTTAACAATCTTAGATTGGCTTCTGACCCTTTTTTCTGCTTTTAACCAGACAGATTGGTTTCTGTTTCCAAAGGTTATCTATGCCCTTCCAACTCTATGCTTGGGATCTATACCATGGACCAAGATGTGATTATAAATCTAAAAAACTTGTTGCATTTTGATGTCGCGTTTGAGATCTATAGTAGTATAATGAAACTACGTATTTGTGTCCAAACAACGGGAAGAGGAAAAGTCGGAGAAACTAGTGCAAGGGAAGAAAATACTCAAGAAGACACTATTGTTTCTCTTGAAAATTGAGTCTTCTGTCTATGAGTTCTTGTCAATGTTGTGGGAACATATTAATTAAGTTGGCTAAGTTTGAATCGAAGTGGTGGTTCAGATAAGTGATCCTTTCTTTGTTTGTGAGTTCAGGAAATTCCGATGAACCAACTTAAAGAAAAATTTAGAATGAGCAAAGAACACAAGAGGGAAAAAGGTAATACAACTGTAGAATGTTGAAGAAAAAGAAAATACAACTGTGCCTGCATTATTGCATGGCAAAATCAGGAACAAAGAAGGAAAATTGCGGTTAATTGAGTGCATTTGGATTTCCTTCCCTGTAAAATGAAAAGCATATCTGGACAAGAAGTTTTTGAATCAGCCATGGGAGATAGGTAGGCTTTTTCCCCTATCTCCTCAGGGTCCAATAGCCTAAAAGCTTCTTGGCTAAAAGATAAGAAAAATGCAAGGAGATACAGTGGGATTCTCTGCATTGTATTTCTAAGATTCTGTGCAGTGTCTTCCTAAACAGGGAACTTGGCATCAATCATTTGAACAAACTGTAGCAATTTAATTAGAATTAACTCTAAGACTATTTCATTTGGTAAACGACATGTGTATTTCAATCAATCAACGCTTGTAGTTTTCTAATTTATTTTGTTGAGAGAGAGAGAGATTCTAAATACAAAAATGAGAGCAGAGGTAAGAGTTTTCTCAGTTTTCTACTGTACTTTGTTGACAGAGAGATTCTAAATACAAAAAAGCAGAGGTAAAGAGTTTTCTCAACCAAGGGAATGGCCTCTAGGCCTGGGTGGTCAGGGCAGGGCACTAAAACATGACCTCTTGAGTTCTATTTCTACTGAATTTTTAATTTAACATAAAAAAAAAGGATGCGTGATCAAAAATTATGGAATAGAATTGGTGATGTCATAAATCTTTTTATAGCCCTTAGAGGTTCAAAATCCCTAAAAATGGTCCATCTTGTGTCTGGTTTTCTATTTCAAGTGTTTACAAATTTAATAGATATTTATGGTTTTTGAAGCTTCAAATTCTATAGGCAAAGGTCGAATTTATAGGCCATTACAATATTTAAGTGATGCTTCACCTTTTAGAGAAGTTTCGTGGTGATGCCATAAATTCTTTTAGAGAAGTTTCTTGAGCGTGCAATTCAAAAATGTAAACAATGTTTCACGGGGTTACTTATATCTTAGAGTACATTCACTTGAACTAGATTGCATTTTAGATCCCACGAAGCCAGGGCATTCAATACTTTGAAGAAAACGAATGCATTTTATACCTCTAATCCCAGAGATGTTAAAACATCAGCCCGCTCAAGAAAATAACAAAAAAATAACAACTTAGGAGTGCGTAGCATGGCCATATGTGAAAAATTTGGGGTCCATCGGACCAATAGAATTTTTAGGAGACCTGCTACTTTTTTTTAAAAAAATTATTAACATCATTGAGCATTTATTTTTGATTCCTTCAATATGGGCCTCTACTATCCCAATGGGCTTATGGGCTTTCAAGATTTTTTCATGTGTATGTGTGTGTACACACATATGGAAATGATATTGTAAGCCAGCCACCTTACATAACAGTATAGCTGAGTGGCACATATTCAACCTAACATAATAAGGAGTGTATACAATGAGACGATTTACCTTTGATACAAGGTGGTCACAATTACTTACAACCATTCGATGTGAAGTTTGATAGCTTGGATGTCATAAAGTTCAAAAAAATTTATTTTGAAGTTTGAGCTTGGTCAATTGAATAATTGCAGCCACCCAATTTCATATCCAATGGTCAAGATTAATGTCTCACTTTGTACCAAAGTAAATGGTCTCATTCTATACTTTTCCAACAAAATATAGAAAGCCAATTTTCATGCACATTATTTACTTTTTATAAGTTTTTTTTTCTATATAATTCATGTTGACCTAAATTTTGGGGAGTGGTGAACCAAACCTAAGTACTCTTTAAAAATATATAAAAAATAATTCATTCAAAGTACAGCGACTAAAATGCGCCATCACTGCTGACCTTTAGAAGGTTTAATCTTCACTCACTATTTTGCATGGATAGGTAGGACTTTTCTGTTTTGCCCCCCCTTGGGGTGGTGTTTCCATAATGGAAAATGTTTGGATAGGACTGTAGCCTTATCAAAATGATCATGGTGACATGAGGAACCCTACCCCCAAAATTTTGAGTGTCAAATGCACTTCCTTTGTACAAGTGTGTAGCGAGCATAGTGTACATCTACTCCCTCAGGCAGTAGAACAACTTTGGAAGGATTTTTACAATTTAAAATTTTGGGAACAGCCAAATAATCAATAGATGATTATTTTCAAACGAGAAAGTTAAATCGTGAGTTTTTTAACACTTAGATCTCACCCTAAAAAAAAAATTGGATGGTTATTTTTTTAATGCATAGAGAGTGAGATTTAGATTTTTTTTTGATATTGGTCTATGGGTTTAAGAGGCTAGATTCCCAAATTTGGGTCCTAAGTTACTCCAAAATTGAGTTTTACTTGATGGAGTAAATTGGCAATATATTCCTGGGGAGCATAAAATCTTTTAGGTAATTATATTTCTCTTATTTTGAAGATACGGATATTAGATGTATTTTTAAATCAGTCATAGATAGTACAAGAGATCATTGGTAAGAATCTCATGTAAAATTCAAACTTACTTTATAGAGGGTATGAATGTTATCCGAAGATTAAGAAAAATACAAACTAAGGGTGTTTGTGATAAAAATTATGAAAGTGATTTTCTTGATAGAACGCCATTAGAATGCCGCAATGGAGGAAGGACTTCAAGGGTGTAAAAATGAGAGAGAGAGAGAGAGAGAGAGAGAGAGAGAGAGAGAGAGAGAGAGAGAGTAGTTACGTCGT